GTGTGTTGGTGGGTGGTGGGTGTTGTGGGGGGGGGGATACCGCAGCTAACGGCTAACTAGCCCCGGTTGTGAGTGCGCTAAGAGCCGTTGGCGTCAGTGTTGCATTGTCACGACCCCGTGGCGGCATTCCGCGCGCCAAACAGCCCAAAATGAGACAGTGGGCTGTTCAAATGGCATTTTTAGAGGGCAAGTTCTTTGCGAGCGGGAGACCTGACCACGATCAGACAGGTGGCAATGCTAAAGTGCTAACACGCTCAAAGGCCTGCTACACAGGAGTCGCTTCTCTCTCCCTTTGATTCAGAGCACACGCATCTGAGTCAATGCGGAAAAGTGTGGCGAGTGAACGGCCATTTTACCTGAAATCTTTGTCGCTGGAGGTCATTTTCTCCAGGAGGTTGGAGATGTGATACGAGGCGCTCGCCATGTTGTTAGCCGTTAGCCTGGCTGCTAGCGCGGTGCTCGCTCTTCAGTGAGTGTGTGCGTCTGTTCCGGTTCCGAACTCTTTGTCTTCGTTTCTGTTTTTTGTTCCAACTCCGATTCTGGCCGCTACTGTTGCCTCCGCTCGAGTATTTTCCTTCTTGTCGTCCTTTCTTTTCTTTCTTGTTTGCGCTACAGCGGCAGCGGCGGCGGACGAGTGGGCATCGGTGCGTTTTGAATGTGTCAATAGAGATCCCGTTCTCCGCCGAAGAGGGGCGGGGTTTGCGGGACTGGATGCTGCTGGGGTTCATACACACGTGCACGCACACCCACTTGTTGGACAGACCTAGAAAATAAGAAATGATGATGAGTAGGCAGGCTCCCGTTTGTGACCTGACTGACGAGAAAAAACTAATTCTATAACTTTGTCTGAATAAAAAACCCCAGGGATGTCCTGAATCCCAAATCAACTCTCAACTCAACTCAACAGTATTTCTCGAGCACTTCGCTGCACACAAAGTGCTGTACATGGAGCAACTAACATATACAATAGTAAAGCAACAAATCAGTAACAAAGACGATAGAGAGCAACAAACAGTATAACTAAGATCATAATTTGGGTCATGCTGAGTCCAATTCCAAAGAATACAAGTCAGTTTTCAGGCGGGTTTCAAAGATGGGCAGCGAGGAGGCTTGCTGACCAAACAGTATAACTAAGATCATAATTTGGGTCATGCTAAGTCAAATGCCAAAGAATACAAGTCCGTTTTGAGGCGGGCTTTAAAGATGGGCAGGGAGGAGGCTTGCCGAATGTTCATATAGAATAGAATAGAATAGAATAGAATCATATAGACATGATACTGCTGTTTTTGACTGCCACACCTGACCGTCAATGTGGACATTTTAGCTCCGTCAGAAAGCCACCTCCTCCGGCATTTTATTTGATATTTTACAATATAATTCGAAACTCCTTTCTTCGCCCCTAATGTGAGTCGTGGGAAAGAAAAATCCTGCAGCCGTCCTTGTTGCAGTGACTGCTGGGAGTGGTGTCGTCGAAATGGGGCGACATCGATCACCTTTGGGGGGCAAGCGGATTGAGGGTCTTCGGGACAGCCACACGTTGTCGTTTCCGTTGGGAAACTGGGCTTTGTCATTGATGTGGAACAATGTTTGCCGTCTCCCGGAGCCTGGTCATGTGGTCGTCAATGCGCCCTCCAGTGGCTGTCCCCCCAACTGATTGAAAATCGCGTTCACGTGCCAGGTTTTTTTTTTGGGGGGGGGGTCGTCCTGGGGGGTCTGTTTTTAGGATAAATATTCAATATTTTGAGTGATATGATCCACTAAAATTGATCCATCATCACTGACTTTTTCTGTGGAGTTTGCATGTTCTCCCGGGGCCCGCGTGGGTTTCCTCCAGGCACTCCGGTTTCTTTCCACGTTCCAAAAAACGTGGTAGGACCACCTCCGGTCAAGGATAAAGGTAGGTTAAGGGACCACTCGAAATTGTCCCGCAGTGTGACTGTGAGCGCGGATGGCTGTTCGTCTGTGCGTGCCCTGCGATGGGCTGGCAACCGACTGAGGGTGTCCCCCATCTACTGCCCAAAGAGGACGGCTGGGATCGGCTCTGGCACGCCGCGAGACCCTCTTGAGGAGAAGCGGATCGGATGGATGTGTGAAGTGAAGTAACAATTCACCCAAATAAATGTGACCAACTGTCCCATTTTCCACTTCAACCTTGTTTATTCAGCAAAAATATTCAAATGCATGTGTGCAGTTAGTCTTCGGACAAAGAAAATTTGAGCAATGTCAAACAGCCGACACAAGACGCAGCATTCAAATGCGCCACCATCGCATTTTGCCTTTCCGCAAGACAGTAGTCCACTTGACAGCGTTAACAAAAAACTTAACGCGAGTTCATACAAACTTTGACTGCAACTTGTCCGAGTCATGATAAGAGCATCTTCAAAGACAAACATGAATAACAAATGTCAATTAAAACAAACAAACAAAAAAACAGCATCTAAGTTACATTATAAATGTAGCGATGCCACCAGACACAAAAACTGAATATTAGCCCTCACAAATGTAATTTGTGTTTGTCATCAACACAAAAAAAGACGTGGCCTCATGGTCCAGTAGTCACAGTGCATTAAAACAAACAAAAAAAACAAACAAACAAGAAGATTGCACGTCAGTTAATCAGGGGTCAACGCATTGTAATCAAAAACAAAAAATGGAGGTGTTTGAAAATGTCGATGTCCTCTAGTGAGTCGCGGCGAACTGGAGTTCCTTCCTGTGCTTGCAAGTAAACCCTGGGAGGTGTTAACTGAGCTCCAGTGTCAATTTGTACGAGTAACAAAAAATAAAGATGGAGGCTCACTTTTAATCTGCAAGAATATTGACAAACACACTGTACATATCCAATTTTAAAAGATATTGCCATCTCTCTCCCTCAACACACACGCGCGCGCGCACACACACACACACACACACACACACACACACACACACACACACACACACACACACACACACACACAAACATGCCTCTTGTTAAGACTGGCACTCAAAAATAAAATTTAATCTTCAGCCTTTCTTTTTAAGTTTTAAATTAGCGGGAAGTAAATAGGTGAGAGGCTGGCGTGCCTCTGATTTGCCTCCGGCATGGGAAGCGGCTTGAGCATTTATGCCCAAGTCAGTAGTGAAAAAACACGCCGAGTAGGATATGGCTGTCCTCCCAGTGCACTGAAGTGCACAAAGAGCCAACCAGTACGTGAGCGTGGGCGCTCGAGCGGCCTTCCCTGTGGCTGCCGCTGCGGTCAGAGCAGCATGGACTCCTGCATGGCGAAGGCCTCCTGCGCGTGCCTGTAGTACTTCCCTCCGAACAGGCGGGGGAGCTGTTGGGGCATGACACCCCGCCGCGTCCCGCCGGCCTCGTCCTCCGGGAACTCAAACACGTCCACGGGAGACATCTGGGCTCTCTGGAAGCTGGGCGAGCGAGGCATCCCGCCTGGGGACTGCGGCGGCGGCGGTTCCTCTGGGCCCCACTGGGACACGGGGATCCGCCCTTGCGGGGGGTACTCGGCGCGCCCCTCGAATCTGTAGTCCAAAGGGCCGTGGACGTGAGCGGCGGAGGTGAGCTTTTGCAGGTAGATGGGGGTGGCGGCGCTCCCCAGCTGCGAGGGCGGCAGTCTGGGACTGCGGCGGTTGGGCGGCGGCTCCCTGCGGTGGGTCGCCAGGTAGTTCATGAGGGCCCGCTCCGGGGAGGTGGTCCCGGCCGGTCGCCTGGTGGCGGCATAGGTTTGATCCCCGGCGGCCGCGTCGTAGTGTCTCAAGCCTGGGTGAAATATGGGGACCTGAGTGGGGGCCTGGTAGTGGTTTTGGTTTATGGGGAAGCGGGTCTGGACTCCCACTGGCTGATGGTGGGCAAATGACAGCGCAGGAGGGTGCGAGGGCATTCTGGATTCAGACTGTGCTGTAAGCACATTCCCGCCGTACCCAGGGACTCTGGCCGCCACGCCGTACGAGAGTGTCTCATTCTGAGGAGTCCGCATCCTGGTCGGGGGTCTCTCCAGCTCCAGGATCTCAAACTCCGGATCCAGCGGTCCCGGTACATTGTCGTACTGGGAGGCGTTGGAACCGCGGTTGGCGCCCGGAACCGGGCCCCTGGATTGCGGCCGGCGCTCGGCCCGCCGGTCGTCATCCTGGCCGTCGTGGGCCGGGATAGGGGCGGGAGACGGCGCCGCTGACCGCTTCTGCCGGTTCTCTCGGGCCGCCATGGCTTTGGCCGCTTCCAGCTTGGTCTCGGAGGGTTTGAACCAACGAGGACCAACGTCACGGTGAGCACCGGAGGCGGTGTCGGGGTTGTGGTTGCGGTTGGCGACGCCGTCTCTCTGCGGCCCGGGAGTGGGCGTTGACCCCCGTTCTGGCAAGTGCAGCCCGTTGGAGGCCACCTTGAGGTGACCGTCCCTGGCGTCGGCGGCCTTACGCTGGCGTATGGACTTGTCCAGCGAGTCCCGGCGGAACCGACTCGGGGGGTGACCGCCCGGCACCGGGGCGGGTGGCTCCGGGGGCTCGGCCGGCTCCGCGTGGCTCTGGCCGTTGGCCACGTGGTTCACTTCCATCTCAGGAAGCTGCCCGAGAGGCTTCTTGGGGAACTCCTCATCTCGACCTGCGAGACCACAAACAGAGCAACCGAATGAAAAGTCACACGGGGAATCCGGCGGAAAACAAAGTCGTTCGTGGAGGAGGTGGCGCAGCGTCACAACACAACGGGGGACATGGAGTCATGCAAGTCCACTGGCGAAGAAGGACAGTTACATTCAGTGACACAAAACGGAAAGACACTTTGGGTCTTAGGACGGGAGCCCCTTTGGGAAGATGCCTCGGGCACCTACGGCACCAAACGGGACCCCCGGAGTCTGATGATGAGGCGGCGGTCGCTCCGACAAGTTAAACACAAGGGCACGTTCACGTTGCTACGTCAAACCGGCTTCGAGAACGGAATTTTCAACAACTCCTCTATGGGGCGATGATCCTTGGAAACCAGCCCAAATGGCCGACTTCCTGTGTCCTTTTGGGCACGGCCTCTTGAGACTACCCATGATTGACAAGTTGAGCATATTTCATGTTTCTACGTTCAACGGGCTTGGAGAGCTGAATTTTTCAAAATTCTGGGGGGAAAGGGGCTCCAAGATGGCCTTTTTTAACTGGCAGGAGAATGTGGTGCCCGGTTGAGTACGACGATTTTTCTTTCTTCATTGCCATCGAGCGCAATTTTTTTTTTTTTGGGGGGGGGAGGGGGTGCATTATTTCAACAATGACATCGACAAGAAAGAAGCAGTGTCAGCCAATGAAGGGGCTCCACAAAAAAAGCAAGGCATCTCAAAGTAAAGGTCGTGCCAGGTAAGGCCCGCGCGCTGGACAGACAAACCACACACAGGACGGACGGACTGCCAGACGGATGGACATGGGAAGAGAGGGGGGGAGAGAGAGCAGTCATGAAATCCCACCGGTTGGTGTCGTAGGAGCGAATGTGGCACCCGCTCATCGCCACCTTTTTGTAGTGCTTGACTAACGTTTGTTCAGAAGAAGAGCAAGGAGAGAGGAAGGTTAAGCAGAAGACAAACAACAAGCGCGACGGTGAAGCCCCCGCACTCGGTCGGCCGCACCCGCCGCAAAGTGGCAAACTTTCAACATGCAATTGTTTGGAAACTCCCGCATCACCGCTTCTAATTTGGGTGAGCCCGTATGTTAGCATTCAGCTAGCAAACTTCGGTCGGCTGAAATGACAGGGAACGTCAACTGGAAGTGACAAATAAGCAATTTGAAACGAGCGAGACCCTTTTCATTTTCTCCATGTCTCCCGTTTCTTGACAGCGGGCGCTCGGCAACGTTTCAACAAGTGCGTTGAAATGTCAAATGCGTTGCACCCCTCCGCGCCGTCCGGGTGAGCGCGGAACATCGGCCGGCGGCAAACGGGGGTTCACCCTACTGCGACTTCAAAACGGCGGCAAAAAGCAGTACCTGGCGCGGGCAGGTCCAACTTGGCCCTTCGGAGCTCCGCCATGGAGACTTGCAGCTGCTCCACCACAAAGTCATCATGGAAAAAGAAATTTTTGGACAAGGTCACCTGCAGGAAGTCCACCAGCTCCTCCATGCTCAACTTCAGCAGGTGCTCTGGGGACAAGGCAGCCGAGCTTACATCCGCTCCCCAAATGAGGACGTTTTACGCTTCGCGGGCGCGCGTTTCTCTCTCGACGCCGGCGACGGCGCAAGGCGTACTCACTCTTGTGCAGTTTGAGGACGGTGTAGGACATGGCGGGAAGAGTCCTCTCGCCCTCCAGGATGTAGATGTCCCAGATCCTGAGAGTGAGAGTGAAGGGAGTCTGGGAGGACAAAACAAAAGGGCAGCTCTTTACACCGGGTGGGCGCCTCTTCCAGAGGTGGGCTGCGCGCGCGTTTTGCCAAGCGCTCACTCTGTCCAGGAAGCACTGGAAGAACCACTTCATGGTGTACAGGCTGGTGAGGACCTCCTGGCTGTCCTGCAGGAGACACGACTCATGAGCAAGGCACGCAGGCGCTTGGCAGTGAATTTCATCCTCCGGGAATGGGCGCTTGCAACCACGCTGCCAAAGTTCAAATCGAGTGAATTTTGGGAAAGCGATTTCTCACCAGGTGACGCTTGAGCTTGGGCATCATCTTCTTCAGGATGCGGTCGTGGTGCTCCTGGAAGCGCATCAGCTTGGGGAAGCCGGGGACGAAAAAGCCTAGGTCAAAAACGCGCGCGCACGGACGGGATCAGAATCCGCCGTGGGCGACGTGGCGGCGGCGGCGATGTCCGCGGCTCCCCACCGTGCATGGCGTGCTTGTGTCCCGACAGCAGCCTGACCAAAGCCCAGAAGGCGTCTTCTTCGTTCATGTAGATGAGCAGCAGCGCCGTGATCTGACTCATGCCCTGGCAGTAGCCCACCTCCTGCAAAGACAAGCGCGCGTCGGAGGGAGAAGGCCGCCGCTCTCGCCCCAGACGTCTTCGCACGGGACTCACCTTGTTGTACACGGAGTAGGCCGTCAGCACGTGGAACAGGGCCTGCTGCCTGCGACGGCAAAACAAAACGCTTAAGAGCCGAGACGGGGCGGACCCGGCGGAGCGCGTCGCCGGGGACCCACTTGACGTCGTAGCGATGCATGAACATGATGTGATCCCTGTAGGTGCGGTTGACGTCCAGGTCGATTTGGCGCACGTCCGGAGACGAGCCCTTGGCTCCGGCCTTCAGCTTCTGCAGAGCGCCCGCGGACGGCGCGGAGGTCAGCGCGCCGGCGCGGGAAAGACCGAGGCCGCGAGCGGCGCGCTTCCCACCTCGTAGAAGTCCTTCCTCTCCTCCTTGATTTGGGGGACGTCCAGCAGCAGCGACCACACCTCGCCCCGCAGCTGCAGCGGGATTCCCTTGTAGACCCTCCGCGCGAGCTGGGCGGGACCACAAATCCACGTGGGACGTTTGGAGGGCCGTCGCGCGAGCATCGACAAATCACCTTTTCGCTGTTCTTGTATTTGTCCCAACTCTTCAGCATCTTCAGCCACTTGGTGGTCCTCTCCAACTCCGTGTGCTTGTGCTGCGCGGGCCAATCAAAAGGGGTTATTCGCCCGGCGGGCCATCGACAACGGGTGCCGGGAATCGGACGAGACTGAGCACCTTTTCCTCCGCCGCGTCGTAGGACGGGAGCTCCTTCTCGCTTCAAAACAACAAAGAGGGAAGGCCTTTAGCCATTTGCACCCCCTTCTCCTGGCACTACGTGTGTGTGTGTGCGTGTGCATGCGTCCTTACTGCACAAAGCCAAAGCGGTCGATGACCTTGTACAGGTTGAAGTCGATGTCCTCCCAGGGCTCCACGGTGGCCTCTTTGCCCTGCGACGACGATGACACATCGCGACACGTTTTCACGGCGGCAACTCGACCGGGAACCATCGGCACAAAGACCGCGGCCCCAAAAGTTCAGCTGGTGTCGCAGCCTTTTCCACTTTTGTCACCTGACTCACTCGAGTGACAAAAGGAATCAAGCGCTCGCGTGATAGTCGGGCGCCCGATCGCATCTTGACGGAGAGCCGCGTCCTCAGCGGAGGCGTCAACGGCCCGGAGAAAAAGTGTGTGTGTGTGTGTGTGTGTGAAATGGACAGAAGAGAGCATGCCAACCTTTGCGTATTTGGCCACAATCTCGGCCCGTTCCTGCTCCAGTTTCACGGCGGCATCCTGATCGCTGTCAGACGCTGAGAGAGAGAGAGAGAGAGAGAGAGACACACACACACACGACATGATATAAGGGAGAATGAAGACAAAGACGAACAAAACATGTTGAAAATGCTCCACTTGTTGGGTCTTGGTGGAGGTCTGTTTGGAAGTTTCTCAGGTAAAAGTGAAACCTGAGCAAATATTTTCATACCTTTGTAATGGTGTGTGTGTTTTTGTTTTTTTAAAACGGCAAAGTCGTTTTTTTGGTGAGCGAAACCACAAAAACAACTTGGCAAACACGGTCATGTTTCCGTAGCGACCACCACCAAAGGAATTCCAACTGACCTTTTTGGACACCTCAGTCCTGATGTCATTTAAAAACAAAAACAAAAACGCTTGCAGAAATCTCAGTTGAAAAGCACATATCGAAAAACAAATAACGGCTTTAAAAATAACATATCGGTCACACACACATTGAGCAATAATACTTGGAGTAAAAACAGGAACAAATAAGATTTCTAAAAATTCAAATGCTTTAAAAATAAACATAAACACTCAATCATGAAAACATCCGCTTTCAGAAATAACTCCCCCACTTGAAAATGCTGTCAAAAATGCCCCTCGCAAAGATGAATGCTTCAAGAAAATGAAGGAGACTATAAATCTCATCTTTGATAAATAAGATGCTTTAAAAATAAACATAAACAATCATGAAAACATCCGCTTTCAGAAATATGATCAAAATAGTGTTTGCGGACAAACTCCCCCACTTGAAAATGCTGTCAAAAATGACCCTCGCAAAGAAGAATGCTTCAAGAAAACGAAGGAGACTATAAATCTCATCTTTGATAAATAAGACTCAATCTCCCAAAGAATGCTGAATGAACACTGGTCCACATAGTCACGCCAACCCGAAGACCAGCGTGGTGAGATGAACAAGCAGCTTTCGAGCACTGACGAGCGCTCCCGTGGCCTCCGGCCGCACTCCATAACAACCAGTTACGACGGACGCACGCGTCAACTGGCCGTCTTTTGTTCCCAGCCAACCTCAGATGTTGCGCTTGCTCGAGTGGAGACGGAATCCAAGTGGAGTGCCAGCCCAACCACTGAAACGGCGCCACTCCATTGTTGTGCCATTTCCAAATCAAAGCCCAAAATGTGCTTTTTTTGGGGCGGGTTGTAACGTCCGATTTGCACATTTTCTTGCCGATGTAAATGCCGCCAACTTTAAACAGTTCAACTAATTCCTATAACACGCTTTAAACTTTTCAAAATAAAAAATAAAAAATAAAATAAAAATACGAGACCGGCGCTTGGAAATGTTGCTCTATCACTCACCGCGAATTGCCATTTCCCCCCCCACCGATTCAAGCCATTCCCACAATGTTGACACCGCCCTGTTTGCCCTGAACGATGACACCATCAGAACTCAACAACAATCATTTGTCTGGCACGACGCACGCACGCACTCAAAAACGATGGTTGCACTCCTTGAGCCCTGAAAGTGGCCCCGCCTGACGTCGGAGCCCCAAGCCCAAAGGCGCGGCGGCGTTGTCGTTACCTTTTCGGCAGCCTTCCGGCGGCGGGTTCATCCCTGAACGGCGCATGGCGAGACGGGCACCCTCGCGACCCGTGCCGTCGCAATGGGGCGGGGAGATCCGAGCGCCGCAAGCGCTCGCCCTTATTCCCACTCGCGACATTCCCCCAGCCAAACAACGACGAGGACTGAAGGAGCGCAACAAGGCCGGCTCTGTTGGACGGCCTAAGCGCCGCCGCGGACGAGGGGCTTTCACAAAGAGCGCATTTCAGTTTCTCCTCGCCCCGACGTGAAAAATGTCACACGGCGTCGGAAAAGCCCGCTGGGACCCGGCGGCCCGGAGCGTGGGCTCGCGCCACCGAGGATCGAGCCCTGCCGTGAAAGGCCAGATCTGCAAGGCAGAATGACGCCTTAGGCCAAAGCCCGACTGACTGAATGAATGAATGAAGCTCCTCGCCTCGCTTCAACTTAGTTCCGAACCGCGAGATGCCTCGGCGAGACTTTTGCCGCAAGAAATCTTTGCGTTTGGTTGTACCGACGCCCGCAAAAGGCACGCACGTGTCCCGTTTGCCCGCAGTGCGCTCGCGTGCAAATGGACTTGTTGCTTGGAGGACAACAAAGACAAGGAAGAACACGCCGCCGATGCATCAGCGTGATGACCTTTTTCTTGTTGGCAAGCCTCCACGCACAAGCGGTCGACGTAAGGTCAGGCGGGCGCTCTTTATTATGGTATGAAACTTTTTTTCAGCCTTGTTTTTTTTCCCCCCTTGGGAGTGGAGGCGGGGGGGTAACGCACTGTATAACGCTGTTATTTGAACACTGGATTTTATCGGTTCCACCGCGAGGATTTGGACAATTTGAAGTTGGAGAAGTCACTGAATGACGGCCGATGCAAGTAGTCGATGGACAGTTGGGCGTGCAGTTGAACGGCGAGCGGAAGCGCAGCTCCTGCGGCGAGGAGCGCGGCACGTCAAGCGTGAGGAGAAGGCACACACCTCCAAGGGCGGCGGCGGCCGCCCGGCGCCCGGCCGGCGCCACCATCTCCTTGACCATCTGCAGCACCTGCATGCCCGCTCACAGCCACGCGGCGCCGGGGGACTCGGTCCCGCGACGCCGGGTATGACACGGGCTCCCGTCCTCGCGAGCTCCCATCATGAATAAGAAAGAAGCGGCGGTGGGGAGCTTGAAAGTGGCAGCCCACCTCCTCCTCCCCCTCCTTTTCCTGTTCTTCTTTTTACCGGCGCACGTCCTTTCAAGTGAATTGAACGTGTGCGCCTCGACTGCCGCTCTCGCTCTCCCTCGTCTTGGACCTCCCGCTCCTCCCCCTGAGCAACGCCAGAAGAAGGGACGCTTGGCAGGAAGCACGCCCTCGCGCTTTTCAACGAGCGCATTCGGAATCAGACACTCGCCGGACTATTGATTAGGTACAACGTCAACAACAAAGCCGACAACATTTGCCGGCTCTTTGCAAGTCTTCTTTCTTTTCAAATGATTCTGCAGCATTGTTTATTTTCGACATAAAGTGGCGTTTTTCTTGAGTTCTACTTCTTGAAATCACATGTGGGCATTTTTCCTCTTCCCTTACTTTTTTGCACATCATCCTATTTCATGCGCCATTTCAGTTACTCCAGAATTTTATTTCAAGGATAAGATTTTTTTTGGGGGAAGCAAAATAATGAACTGTAGTTTTTATTTTTTTCTAAATTGTGATCTTTTTTCCAAGCAATACGTTTTGGAATGCCTCATTTGATCTAAAACGTATTCTTTTTTTGCTGTTGCGAATGCGTTGCTTTAATCCTCAGCAATATTTTCATTGCTACTTTTGAAGCATTTGAAGCGCCCGCCCCCACCCACCCCCCGAGCCAGAATAAGTGTTAACCTGTGTTCGTCCTATCGCCGTTTTTGGATGGATGGATTTGCCATTCCCGACACTCTTCTGGTGGCAACTGCATTTCCCAGCATCCTCCGCGACACACGCGTATCTTCAAGAGACGGACGCGGGCGTCAATCGCATGCGCCGCCGCAAGGTCTCATCGGCCCCGTTGCCATGCCTCCCGCTCCGGGTTGCTAGGCTGTGGCAGACATTTTGTTCAAATCAAAAAACAAAAACAACAAAAAAACAGCTCAGCGGTGCCCGCGTTGGAAATCACTGCTGTGTATCCAACGAGGAAGCGAGTTGGGCCCCCTTTTCTTGCTCCTTTGCGTTGTGTAGCGACGGGGGCTACGGTGCCCTCATCTCAAGGCATCGTGAAAAAGCAGAGTCAAAAGAAAAGCTGAGACAGAAGGATAACAAGACTCAATGCATTGAAGTGACCAGCATTTTGTCTTGGGAGCATTCTGGGGGATTTTTCCCCACCCATTTTCATTTCCACGCTAAATTTGGGGGCGGGGTTTGGGGGGCATGAGCACTCATTAAAGCGCTCGTGCCCCCAGGCTTCATTTCCTCTCGCTGCCCTGTTTGCCTCCAGATGTAATCACAATCCAGCTAAGCTTCCTTCCTGTCATGAACCTCCGCCCGCATCCTAGCTCCGACAACACACACACACACACACACACACACACACACACACACACACACACACACACACACACACACACACACACACACACACACACACACACACACACACACGTCTTTCATCAAGACAAGACAGAAAACCGTCCATCGCAACAAGGGTGGAGCAACCACATTCCGCAGACGCTTGCGGAGAGCGTCCGGCTGGGTACGAGAGGCAAGGTCGGGAAAGCGGCTCAATGTGGGAGCGCAAAGTTGTGCCGATAGTCTGGAGCCCCGGCCAATTCCTTCACCTGTTCATATTGAACCACGCAAATCAGGCAGAAGCTCCGGACAGCCCAACATCTCTTCCAACGTGTCAACAACATGCCATGGCGTCATCCAAACAGCTCCAACAGTACGCAGTTAAAACACAAACCGGTGCGGAAATGTCAAAAGCGACAACAGCGACGTCGAGCAGCGCTCATTTTTCTCCTTACGACCACGAGCGACTTGAATTGGCGCTGAAAATAGAGACGACGGGAGTGCAATCTCTCTTGGCGCGTGACAAGCAAGGCTCTCATGGTTCCCAATTCCACATAACACTTTGGCGTCCACAGCACTTTACTTCAACGGCGCTCGTTAAATCCAATTGCCCGACAGTCCACATTGGTTGCCCTAGCAACAGTGCCTCGCACCCCCCCGCGCCCCCCCGCAAGGAATTTAAGACCCCGCCGGCTATCTTGGTTTGAGCCATCCGAGGGTTCTTCAATCAAATTATACGCCCCCGCTTTCATCTGGCATACTTGTCAAAGTGAGGATCATCCCGGGTTGGGGGAGGTCCAACCGCAGGCCGTCCTATTTTGCAGCGCCAGCCGTGAGGTGAGCGACACCTCCGCCGCCACCTTTTCAGCGCAAGTGTCGCATCATTTTTCGACATTCTTTTGTGACTTGCCGATGACCTTTGAATACCCCCGTTGAACTCCATTTGAAGAATCATCAGGAAAAAACTCCCAAATTCAAGACGTCAACTCACTCATGATAGGAGCGCGGGGGTGGGGCGCGCCGGGCCGATCTCCGGACGGGTGCGCTCGTTCTCCACTTTCTCCTTCCTCGAGGCGCTCATGACCTGCACACGCAAACAAAATGACTTGGAAGGAAGCCCGAGACGCCACCGCATTTGCGCCACACACACATTTGGAGGTGCCAAAGCCGGCGGCCTGCTCCATCAAAGAAAGCAAACGTCACCGCTTGGTCCCAAACGCCGCCGGCAGGAAGAAAGCGTCTACAAAATCAACTTGTTCCTTCGTTTTAAAAATTGGCGGAGACGTCGCATACAGGGTCAGTCATTCAAAGACAGAGCCGCATCGTTTTCTGTTGACAGCCAAACTCCGTTCGGAAAAACAACTTCTCGGCTCAACGGGCTTTGGCTCCGATGGCGCTTTTCCACCTACAAGGCACTCAAAGCGCTTCAACACTGACTCCTCGTTTGCCTCCTGGTGACGCAGCATCCGGAGCAACTGGGGGTTCACTCTCTTGTTCAAGGGCACTTTGCCTCGGTTACAAGGGCCGGGGATCGAATCCACTACCTCTGAGTTGGGAGACCGCCACTCGACAACACGAGCCATTGAATCTTGCCTGTGTGTTAACCTGTGGGAGGATGTCAAAATCCACTCACTTACTTTACACAACTACCCCCCCACACACACCTTTCAGTGACAATTAATCAGTGGAATTGCCTTTGTTGGGTGGGGATGCAAGCTGATCCCCCCCGCCCCCCAAAAGCCAAGGATACAATGTTTCCAATAAAAGCTGATGAGGCAAATAGTCCCGGCCTGACACATCCTGCTGCTGTCATCACACACCGGGAAGGCGGGCGCAGAGCCCACGACAACCAGGGCATGCTGGCCGGATGACGTTTTCCTCACTTTATACTGGTTTACTGGGTCACACTTCGGCACACATAAAAGTCCATTTCTAAGCGCAAAGCCTCCAACTGCAGCTAAGCCGCATTACCCTGGAGGAGGACGGGAGCGATGGAAAGACGCACCACTCTCAAGCAAAGTGATATCACTTCCTGTCACAGTTATCAGGAGGGCATAGTCAACAATTATGTCATATCTCCTCACAAGAATAAGAATCGTGTTTGTTGAGACGAAACGAAATCTTATTGTGAAAATGTATTGCTTCACCTGAGCTTCGTCCACGAACTTGACTCTCGCCCGTCACAACAGCAACAGCGACTTTCTTCCCCGCACAGACCAAGCTTTGCCAAAAACACGAGCACTATCGATCAACGAAGCGTGTTCACCTTTCGTCATTCTGATTTTTTTTTTTTTTTATTATTGTTTATTAAGTGCGTAAAATAAGGTAAGCGTTGGATTATGTTGACACCAACATCGCATCTGTGTGCGGGCACCCTAGGCGCGTCACGTTGATCGACAGCTCGTCTCGGCCAATCGGCAACCTCGGGACTCACGAGACAGCCAGTGAGAAGCCACGAACGGGCGGCCTTGGCGGAAGTTGTCGACCAATCTAAAGCAGAACTGCACTGGCTTACCTTTCGAATTACACCGCTTAGCCGTCTTTGGACGAGTTTTACATCTACACGATTCATTACAACGACTTGACTCTCTGCTAAGCACAGGTCGAGAAGTTCCCTACACGCACGACACGCTTTTCAAGTCATGACATTTGTACACGACATTTATTTTGAAGGAAGACATCGGAAGACGACTGGGGCTAATCGGCTAGCTCCACACTGGTGTGTTTGCTAGGTAGGCCTCGGTGAATACAAACAAACACCAAGTTCACAATTACAAAACTGACATCGAGCTCTTTGGCAAAGTGGAAATAAAGACGAAGAATTAAAGAAGACTCTCAATATTGTCCAATAAAGCCATGTTTTGAGTGGACTGCCACTTGACCAAGCTCGAACGGAGCGCCGCGAGTCAATTCAGCCCGCGGTGCCGATGCCGTGTCCCCTTAACCCCTCCTTCTCCCTGACAGATGCCCCAAGCCAATTTGACCCCCCCTTACTCAGTCGACCACCACCGAGCCTCACCTTGCGTTCAACTCGACGCCGGCACGGTTCCTTCCCTGGCCGGCCATGTGTACCAGGAAGTCTGGGCCACTTCTCAAACTGCCGCGGAGGTGGACGTCAGGCAGCCAGGTAGCGATGCGCCGCCCGCGCGACCCCTCCGCGAGCCACTTCCGGGCTCACTTGAATGCATCAGGGCAAGTGGACGCCAACGTTCAGTCCCCCTCCCCTTTTTTTGCCACCACTGTACCCCACCCCAAAATATTCCCACTTTTCAAAACTATAATTTCTCACCGAAAAACAACCAATCAACCAAAAGCATGACAAAACAGCAACCGAATTTAACTCATTTGGAACGCAAACATTCGAAATGTCACTCGTGCATCACAATTGTTTACTGAAGTTTAATTTTGCACTTGTCGGTCAAAAAGTGACACTATTAGAGGAAAAACGGTACTAATAAAACACTGGGCTCTCTACTCGCGGACCCTAGTCGTCCTACTAGCGTGCTAAATTGTTTTACCCGGAAAGTCAGAGTGGACTCGTACATGATTTGTAACGTGGATTCCAAGAATGTTTTTCTCCGGCTACTCCGGTTTCCTCCCGCATTCCAAAAACACGCATGGCAGGCTGATGAAACGCTCGAAATTGTCCCTAGGTGTGAGTGTGCCCTGCGATTGGCTGGCAACCGGTTCAGGGTGTCCCCCGCCTACTGCACGAAGACAGCTGGGAGAGGCTCCCCCCCCCGCCTCCCTCCTCCCCCGAGACCCTTGTGAGGATAAAGTGGGTCGGAAAATGGATGGATGGACTTAAAAGAATGCCGAATAAATGCTGCAATTCTTCCTTCTTATTGGAATTTGTGGTGAGGTTCCCCAAGTGGCCACAAGAGGGCAGAAAAGTACCGTTAAAGCACAAGTTTTTTTTTTGCATTCAGAAATGTACTGTCACGAATGAAGAAACTCACCTGACGATTTAACTTGTGCCTTTTTTCTGTGTGCAAATCTTCACCTGACAGCTTCCTGTCCATCCGTTTTCTTTTGATCTTTTTGTACGGTGACCTGGATTTCTTCCTTTTCGTCATCCGGCATGACTCTGACGACGCTTTCATGTCTTCCATTGATCTGCTTTGCGAAAAATAAAAATTGGCCAAGTGTGAGGTCCTTTCGTTCTTGCGGCAGGGGTGGGGGGTGTTCCGGGGTGCGCATTTTGGTTACTGAAACCTAGTCTATTTTATCATCTATGCATTTGAAATTCTTGCAGATTTTTCGAGGCAGTTCATTTTATTGAGACATGTTTATATTAATTGGGTCGTGTTTATTTTCTTTCGAGAAATATTTTAGGCTTTTCAATTTATGATTTTTTTAACGATGCCATATTTGTTTTTGACAATAAATGAAAATGATCACAGAAAAATCTACATTCAAGAGAGCGAATTATCAAAAGAAAAATAAATACAAATAAGAATAAGGGAACACAAATATTGTGGGAAAAATCCAGATGAAAGTAATACAAAGATCTATTCAAAAGTAAAAAAAGGGGACAAATTCAATGAAAAAACAAAATCAATTGCAACACCTGAAAATGAGGACACGAAAAGAAAATGATGGCTACAAAGAGTGAAAACATATAGAACAAATAGGGCAGGAGAACGAGGTCACCTAACCTCCCCCCCAACCCCAACCTAAATAAACAGTCAAAGAATTTTCTGCAAAGTCGCCAGCTTTGGAATTTATGTTGGTTGGAGGTGGCAAGGCACCAAAGTGCAAGACGAAGGCAAGGAGACAAGCCCACGTGGAGCTCGACGCGCCATACGGCCGCGCCGTTGGCCATGCGCGGAAAGGAGCAAGGCGGGACCAGTGGTAGGAAAAACATGGTTTTAATATAGGAGACGAAAAGCAAAAAAAAAAAAAAAAAAAAAAAAAAAGGCATCACACCAGAACAAACGTTGACCAAACAAAGAACAAAACAAAAACGCTGACATTTTTTTTCTTTTTTTTTTTTTTGCTCACACGTTCGGTAGACAGAGAAAAACGGCAGAAATCCAAAGAGCCAAAAAGCAAACCCGACAACTACTCGTACTCGTGTTCTTCCCCAAAACGAATGCGCACAAGAACAAGCCACTCGAGGGCACTAAATAGTTGGGGGAGCCATCCGACGACCCTTTCGGTGACCACACCGGAAAAAAAGGTCGCGACCCTCCCTGAGGAGAGAAAGGAAAAAAAAAACAACAAAAAAAAAAACAGTGGCAAACAAAAGTCAAACTTTGACGGCATCGGGCCTCACAGACAGCGCTTTGTTTGTGGGATGGTTTGTTTGTTTTTTTTGTTCCCCTCCTTTTCTCTGTTTCCTTGAATGTCCAGTATAAAAGTAGTGGCACTGGTACAAAATGATGCATAAGTACAATCGATTGTAGAAATGGGAAAGCCTGCACCGGCATCGTGTTGTTGTTGTTGTTCCCCATCGGCGGCGGCAAACAAACTCACAAAATCACGCCAACTTTGGCTTCGCTCCACAAAAACACAACCAAGAAAAACACTTAGAAAATTTTTTTTTTTACTCTTATAGTTTTGAAGAGAACAAAAAAAAATCTAACGAGAACAAGCATCATTTGGCAAAAAACACACACACAGACATTTTCTAGATGCTTCAAAACACTCGACGAGTCAAAATGCAAAGAAATCACAAGCTCGGGATTTTTCTTATCTCCCCATTTTGTTTCCATAAATAGCACTTAGTTAACCATGTGATTAATTCAGGAAAGCTGACAGAGAAGTGACAAGATCCAAAGTTACAATCGGCACGAGAGCCCCCGAGGCGAAGTGAAACAAAACCAGAACAACACCCTCTTGAAAAGAAAACAAACAAACAAACAAACAAACCCAGAGAGGAACTACGCTTGTGCTTGTCAAGTGAACGCCTCCTTTTACTTCCTGTTTGTCAGCCAATCACACGCCTGCTGTCCGAAACAAACTCTGAGGAACGCCTTTCCGCATCACTCTCGACCGTGGACAGTTAAAGCAAAACCTTTTTAAAAAAAACACACACACACACATATCGATATCAATCTATTGCTGGATAGAAATAGTGTGTGCGGACTCAGTATACGCATTCGAGTTTGAATGTCGCAGTTGATTATTCGTCACTTTGGTGGGGCGCCGTGAAAAATGTTCTCGAAACATCAGTCAAAACGTGTCTTGCCATATGCTTCCGTTAAAAAGAAGAAGGAAAAAAAAAGCAGCTTTGGAAGAGCTGCCAACTGCCGAGTCCGATGTACCACTTGGACCAAAAACCTTTGCATCTTTTTTTTTCGGTTGCATTTAAAAGGCGTTTTTTTTTTTTTTTTTGTTCTTGTTGCTGTTGGGACAAAAAGCGACGAGGCACGCGATCCTCCCTGATTAAGGCCAGCGGTGAGCGAGCTTGTCGTGTAGAAAAGAAGCATGCCTTGGATGGGGGCGGGGGTGACGGGAAAGGAGGCGCGCGCGCGGAGGGAGATTTTGTGCTCAACGAGTGTCACCCACCGACCCACTTTGGCCCGCCGCCCGCCGTGCGCGCGTCAGTGTGCTCGTGCGTGCTAGCAAGCGCTCGCGCCCCCGTGTTACAGACGCGTGTCCGCTAAGGCTTGCTAAGGAGCGTGCTCGCAAAGTGTGCGCGTGCCCGGATGTGTGCGTGGTTCCCGTGGAAGCGTTCACACTCGGGGGCTCTCCCACACAACACAACCAGAAGAAGTAGAACAATAATAACAACAACAACAACAAAGTGAGGTCTTGCACAAGAGCGTGCGCGCGTGCGCACATGTCTAGAGATATATAGAGAGATTTAGATTTATATAGATTTATATATAGATCGATATATATTTATGACACATGGGCACTTTTTTTTTGTACATTTTTACAAAGAGAACAAAAATCCAAATAAAAAGCAAACAGGACATTTTTCTCAGGCAACAAGACCACAAAGTGAACAAACTCTTTTGTGTTTTTTTCTTTTGAAAGCGAGAACTTCTTAAATATGAAAACACTGAGAAGAAAATACGTATGGTAGCAAATCATCATCGTGTCACAAAGAGAAGAAGAAGAAGAAGAAGAAGAATAAGACGTCGACGGACGCACGCACGCACAAGGCAGGAAGTCGCGTCTTCCCAATTTGGAACTAAACTCACTTTTCGTTTTTTTTTTTTGTTGTTTGTTTTTTTAAAATCTCGGTTATAAGACAAAAAACACACACATCTAAATATTTGGTTGCCATCACGTAGACAAATCAAATCATGACATTGATGCTCCACAAGGTGACATTAAAGATATAGATTTATAGATTCATTTCCATCGATATAGATTTGACTCATTTTTATAGAACTAATTAAACGACAACAAGATAAGCAAGAGAAAAAAAAACCCGCAGCACATTGCTAGGAAAGGCTCCGGCCATTGTTCAAGTAAATTGTTTTTTTTTTAAAAAGTCTTCTCTTAAAAAAAAAAAAAGAAAGAAAAAAGCCCAAACTAAGAAAAAAAGAAACATGACACAATTAAAAGTG